TTAATGAGACACAATGTCCCAATTAACCTTTTTAAGAGTGCCATTTTCAAAAGATATGAATGTTGCCTCACTGTTTAAGACATTTATGGTTTAACCCATCGGCCAAGGATTTTCCCACTTGAGGCAAACGGTGTCATATTTTTTTAGTGTTGCGCTTATGTGATTCCTCACCTAAGTGAACATTTACAAAGGACATATTAGAAAGAACTTGACATTTTCACATACACAACTTGCCTTGCTCCTCACACACTCTTATTTTACTGCATGCAAACACACTTGCAAATGAACACTTGAATGACCTACTTTCTTCAGAGAGATTGGTTTAAGAACACTAACCAGGAATTATTAAGAAGCAGTTTCCCGGTTACAAAAGCAGAATAGCATGTAACTGTCTTTGTTGAGCAGGACTTGTGTCGTGTTGATGATTAGGATGGTCCTCAAAAGCCTCCATGACCCGGTCAGCCTCCTCATCTTCATAAATGACCGTGCAATGTTACCTTTGAATTGACAAGTCAGGAGCTCATGAGACATGAGTATACAGTCTAATGAATAACTCACGTATGGTTGAGAGCATTGTGCTTTATTAACATCTTTATGTTTTTAATTATAGCATAAGTTGCTGTGACTCCTGTGAGCTTTACTGACCTTTCTAAATCATACTTTTTTTTTCCCCCATACTTTTTACTTTTTAATAATCCATCTTTGTGTGCTTCATTCGGGGCTGTAGGTAGAGCACATTATTAAATTATTACTTCCAGGTCTGATGTAATAATAATCACAGCCAACCATCTGTCCTGTGCTTTTTATGATACATACATAACTTACAAAATCTTGTAAAACATTTTTTCACAGGATACTGTGACACGGTGAGATTTAAACAAACTACACTTTTAATATTATCTGAATATCTGATCTTCTGGGATGAAGAAGAACAACAGATAAGAGAAAAGTATTCCAATTTAAATATTTAAAATAATATATTTACATACTATATTTAAAAATATATTGCGCTTGTGTTAAAAAAAAAACCATGATTTTAAGGTCTAAAAAAAAAGAACAATGTACAAATGTAGACAAAAATACATTTTGTATGTATAAAAGTGATGACATTTTACTTTAGGGTTTTTTTTTTTTCAAATATATTATTATATTACGTGTGTGTGTGTGTGTGTGTGTGTGTTATATACAGTCTAAGTTATATTCAAAGTGTATATATAATTATATAAGTATTATTATTATTACTATTATTATTACTATTATTGTTATTATTTAAAGTAGTGTATCACAGTTTGTGACAATATCACAATATTGTCAAAAAAATATTAAGCATATTAAGCACAACTGTTTTCAATATTGATAATAATAAGAAAAATTTCTTGAGGTTCAAATTATCATATTATAATGATTTTTGAAGAATCAAGTGAGACTGAAGACTGGAGTAATGTCTGCTGGAAATGCAGCTTTGCATATATTTAAATTACATTTTTAAATATATTGAAATAGAAAACAGTTATTTTAAATTTTAATAATTTGACACTTTTTAAGCAACTAAATGCAGCCTGAATGACTTGAGATATATACACACAAATATATTTAATGGACTGTGTGTTTGGTCGGTTGAGGTTTGACACAGCGTAGTTTCATGTCCTCCAGCGGATGAGAACCGAAGGGTGATTAATGTCTTAATTTCCTATTATTAAAGACCAGAGAGGGGATGCAGGCTGCAGATAGTCAACATGCTATAAATCTCAGCAAAATGAACGATCAAATAATCACTCTTCAGAAATGAAATCTCCACACATTAATGCTACCACCCAGACACACACACACACACACACACACACTTTGACAGCGTAATTACCGCACAAAATTATAATGTGGTTCATTGTATTTCACCTCCTTGTGTGAACCATTTACTGTACAAAATACAGTTACTTTAGAATGACCCTGAGATTGTTATGATTTAAAATGTACCATGATCTACTCTGTCTTTTTATCTTTTCTAACATCTCTGCCTCTCATCCACACACATGCGTTCTTACAATCCTGAGAGAACGAGAGAGAGGGAGAGAGATGAACTCTGCTCCTTTGTGCGGGGCAGACGGAGGGAAAGGACTAATCACATGCACTGGATTGATTACAGTGATGATTAATAGGGTATATGGTTTTCATTAACAATTTGATTTATCACAGATCATGAGGCTGAATAATGGTAATGGTCTCCACTCCCTCATATCTCTCTCAGCAGATGAAAATCCAGCCCTTTTTCACTACTTTGTTTCCCCATTTCCTTATTTCTACAGATGGAAGGATTCATTTAACGGCCCTGGTTTCTCTTTCCTTGAAATTTCCATTGCATGAACCACATTTTTCTTTCTTTCTTTCTTTTTCTTTCTTTCTTAATATTTGTTTATTTTATTCATTATTTGTGTGGTGTTATATTATTATTATTATTATTATTATTATTATTATTATTTAAAATCTGTAGAAAAACAAATAATGTCCTGGCAGAAAATTACCAGTACCTTTTCCATAAATTATTCTTTCTTTCTTTCTTTCTTTCTTTCTCTTTGTTTATTTTTTTCTATTTGTTTGTTTCTATTTTTCTATTTGTTTATTTTTACTTTTTTACTCCTCATTTTAAGGAGGAGAAGTGTGTTGTTTTTTGTGCAGTTTAAAAATAAAAATCTGTAGAAAGATAATGTCATGGCAGACAATTACCAGGTCCTTCTCAGTCAAGTTTACCAATGTTTCATTCAACCATAAAACATTTTTTTTTAATGCAATGTGTGATTCAACATATGTGTAATTCACCTGTGAAAAATCAATACTGAACATTTTATGTTAAAATGGTACATTGGGCCGTAATTTTTGCAGATTTATTTTTACCACTAGCTAAAACATAATTACTGTTTACAAACCGGTTTCCCATAAAGCATTCTGCCATTGGGCGGTTAAACAGATAGTCCCATCCCAAACTCATGTCATTGGTTGAGTCTGTTGCTAGTTGGGATGCTCACACAAACATTAATATTTTTATAGCACAACAGACCAACAGCACTGTAAAAAAAAAAGAAAAAAAAAGAAAATAAAACAAGTACACTTTGCAAGGAAATACAATTTCAGCCCTAAAAATGTCATGTTTAATTCAATGTGTTACTTGTCATTTATAATTATTTGTGAAATTTACTAGCAAATTCTGAAAATTGTTTCAAAGTAAGACTTTTCATTGAGTGTTTACACTTTTCAGTGCTCAACCTACATATGGCTTATACGCATGGTCTTCCCATATTTGGGGATAGGCATATTTCTGGGGATAAAAGAAACTATTTTAATGTCCCAAAAATTACCTTTGATGAACATGTTGATGGAGTGTGAAAAGGTGTTCATTTAATCACAGATGTTCTTATTCCTGGATGCTTTATTATACATGCCTGTGACCTAAACTGCATCAAAGTTCGGAATTCTTAGTGAATTAATATACCCTCAAGATTATTTCTGTGTTCTGGGTCACTTGCAGTCATAATGAAAACAACTGGGGTCTGAATGTATGGAAGAAAAAAACATATTAAAGAGAGAATCTCTTTTTGGTGAGGTCAGGCTGTCAGCACATGCGCTGTAAGTCATTGAGCTGGAATGCACTGGCTTTACTCCCCCAGTCCTGCACACATGGTGATGTTTGTACAGGGCTGCTCCTGTACTCTCTAGCAGAAGACACACTGGATGTACACACACTGCGTCCTGCCAGCAAAATGACAGTGCTCAATAAATCTTGTTTCACATGTGCTGTGTGTGAGATACAGGTCACTACATTGTCATCCCTTCCAGATACCTATTTTGAAGCCTGCATGGCCTGCATATATACATGTATATATCGAATATGTACATATTTATCAGCAGCCACAAAAGAGAGAAAGAGGGAGAGTTTGGGCCATGCGCTTCACCCTGTCCTGACAACACTAATGATGTTCAGGACAGCGGAGGATGATGTCTGATTCTCTGCCAGGTCTCTGTGTGTGTGTGTGTGTGTGTGTGTGTGTGCTTGTTTTGGGGGGGTTGGCAGGAGAATTGTGCAACTAGGTTTTTGAGGATGCACACAGGCTCAGAGGCTATGGTAACTCATTACAGTTTAAAGCAGGTCGGGTGACAGCATGAATCAGTCAGCATCTTCCATGCATACTGTAAGCGGGGAGCGAAATACAAAGGAGGAGAAGTGAAAGAGAAAGGAGAGAGGAAATGAAGTCGGAGTGCCAAGAAATAATGTGCATCGCAAGAATTTAGCCTCGGGCATGGCGCGCTCAGCCCGTGTCGGTATCATTAGCGTATTTATAATTCAAATGTATGCCTTTAATAATTCACGCGCGCTGCTTTTCAAAGAGGGGCGCGCGAGATTATGTACAGACTGATGAAAGGAAGGAACTTTCCCATCTCTCCTGAAAAGTAAATAAACGACCTCATCATGCAATGCTCTCTCATCCTTTGCCTTGGAACATTTAAGTGCATATTTGCAATTATTTCGAAGTCCTTTTCAAGTACGAGCTATGTTTATTTTGGGGTTTTTATGTGGTTGATATTTATTTATTATTTTGTGATCGCGTTTTGCATTTTCTTGTTGATGCATCACGCGTTTGAGCGTGTTTGCGTTTGTGATATTCAACTCTAATTTCGCCTATTGCTTTTTTTTTGTTAAATATGTTTGGTTTTCCATCGACAGTGAGGCTCCGGTGCGAGAATTCAAATATGAACTCGTTCTCCTCGTGTAGTCTTTGCACGGTGGTTTTCGAAGACAGATGCACCGCTAGGTGGGGATAGAAGGTAAAGTGACTTTCAAATGGATTGTTGCGCTGGAAAGTACAGCACACGTGAAACTGGAGCCCAGCGGCAGGTTTGCAGGACTCTCGCTGGATCTGAAGAACTAAGAAAAGTATCGTGCGGCTCAAGCACACATCCTGACGGGTCAAGCAAAGGTCAATACTTTTGAAATTAAAGCGGATTATCATCATACCATCATGGGCGAAGAACACTGACATTTAAAGGTAGTTTAAAAATCGTGTTGAAAATGTTCATAACAAATTTAGGATTGTCTTTCTTTTAAAAAAAGTTACAATTAAAATACAATTAAAACAGCCTCATTAAAATTAAAGAATATAATTTAAATAAGTTGTTATTTTAGTTGTAAAGGCTATTTATTTCTTAAATTGTCTATATATTTCTTAAATTACTTATATTGATATTAATGATGACGCTTACCATCATTCCGTTAATCTAAATTAAAATAATGTATTATTATGATGCCGCACTGCAAAAGTTTATATGGGAATGTATTTGTTACACTTGGCTTGTGTTTGTAGCAATGTCGCATCTAAATACATAAACAATACTCACAGATCTTCTTAACGTTGGATCCTCGCAATAGTACGCTTTCGGAAGAATTTTTAAATAAATGCCTAAATGCCAGCATTCGTTTTTTTTAAATGAATGAATAAACGGAGACTAATGTAACAAATGAAAGGAAAATAAAATATTACATTTTAGAAACATTACACAAGTTAAAATCTAAGGATGTACTAATGCTGTTTAGAGTTTGGCCAAAAGGCTAACATTTGTTGTTTTATATCACTGTGTTGCTCGATAAAATTTTATATTTAAATAAAATAAATTATGATTTCTAAAATATGCGCTCATTTTCCCTTTTTGTTTTTTCTTTTGTTAATATACGGGTAATTGCTTTAATCTATAAATAATAACTTTAAAACAACATGATAAAAAAACAATTACAATTGTAAATCAATTTAAATTTTCGAATGCAAAGCAAATTAAATGCTTCTGTACACCAGTTTAGCTTGAGTTTTCATCCCAGTCGATCGCGTTTCCTTTATAGGCCTTTAAATATGATAATGACACAGTTGTGCAGAATTCCCTCAGTGTCACTTATGTGCAAAGGCGCTTGGAATAAGAGGAAGATGTATAACTGCACGGGTTTTATAGTTTCCCATTTAAAATCTATTCCCAGTTCCATACATTAACAATTATTTAGTATAGCCTATATATACTTACATACACACATAAGAGCGCGAAGCTATAACATTAAACTGAACGCATGTTTAGACAGTTTCTTTAATTACTAAAGGAGAAAAGGACATCTAACAAATATATATCTAACAAAAATAAACGTAAACTTATTGATTTAACTTCACTATATAAATGTAATAACTTATATATGTGACGCGCAAGTATTGAAGGACAGTTAAACAACGAAGCATTTAAAATGTATAGACTGTGGTAAATATATTTTCAACGGCTCAAATGCTGTGACGCTCAGCAATTTGTTGAAATAAGGTCCATTCCCAGAGCGACTCGGTGCACTGATCTGATTTTAGCACTTTAAAAAATACAGACACTCCACCCCTAGTAACAAAACGCAGAGGATGGTGGTGCGTCATCCGTGCGCGTATCCAATGTGAGCACTCCCTGGCAGCTCGTGGTCATTGCGCTCTTCTTTCTCTTTGCTTTATGTAGAGGTGTCGAGCTGGTAACACCCACCACGCTTCCCAGGCTCAGTCATCAGGGGTTCAGTCTCTTCAAGAGGAACCTGCTCCAAATCACCAACACAATCCCAGTCGAGGCAAAGCGTGGGTCGCAAAGAGGGACTATGAGATCCGGATAGTTTTTCCTTGCAGTGTTTGCCATGCCAGACACGAACATCCCAGAATTTGGAAAGTTTTTTTTTCTGACTTCAGGAAGTCTGTGACGGGAAAATTGCATTAGCTCGTCAGAAGGTCCAAGTGGAAGCAAATATTATAACCTGTATAAGGTAAACGTGTCGGGATTTTATTTAAGTATATCCGTCAATGTGCGTTTGGTAATACGGTCGAATTACTCCAAAACTAAAAGTGGCTGTAAAGGAAGCGATCAGAAACTCTTCACTGGACATGCTCTATCATCTCAACGGATTACCGACATCTCAGTCCCCTTAAACCGGATGCACAAAAGGAATTAAATCACTCAGATTGTTTCCTTGTTGGATAAGATCACAGTTTGCACTTAACATCAACAGAAGCGTCACATGCTGATGGCTCAACGGGTACGTTCTCTTACAAATCCACCGCGTAAAAAAAAAAAAACTTAAGTCGTAAAGTTTGCTCATAGTTTGTTTTTAATATTTGTATAAAGCTATTTAATATTAGGTAAACACGTGTGTGTGTTTTGAGTTGACTATGATACAGTTTCTGTCTGATGCAGTACGAAGACCTTGCCCTCTATGGTGGCGGTATGGATGGAGTTGGGGTTCCGACGTCCATGTACGGGGACCCGCACGGGCCTCGGCCCCTGCCGCAGGTTCACCATTTGAACCACGGGCCACCGCCACATGTCAACCAGCACTACGGGGCCCACGCACCGCACGGCATCATGCCCAGCAGCATGGGCTCGGCTGTCAACGACGGACTTAAGAGAGACAAGGACCAAATTTATGGGTACTTTACTGCAGCCACGCTTAATATGATAGTTACAACAAACTTTAATTGTTTAAATGGCGTGCTGCATTATTACACCCGCATTTGACAACGTAATTTATTTGTATCTACTTTATTACAGTCAGTAAATGTCTGTGCGTAGGCTATACGATCTTAAAGAATATGACTGTTAAGCACATACATAGCAAATTCACCAGTGTAATTCAAATAGTGAGCTGAATAATTAAACTTTAAAATAATTATGTTTATTTTTTATGAAAATAATTATAGAGCGGTTTTAGTTTATGTGGCCGTCAAAGCAATGAAAGCAGCAATACAACTCTTAATACAGTTTGTCAGAATGATTGCTCGGTTATTGCTATAGTGTTTTGATCTGTTGATTTATGTAAATGTTTATGTTGAATCTCGAAGGCACCCGTTATTTCCGCTGCTGGCGCTGGTGTTTGAGAAGTGCGAGCTGGCCACATGCACACCGAGAGAGCCCGGAGTCGCTGGAGGAGATGTGTGCTCATCCGATTCATTTAACGAGGACATCGCTGTGTTTGCCAAACAAGTAAAGTATTGATTGAAAAAGATTTTTTTTTCAACGATTTAACTAAATATTCGGTTACTCAAATTAAGTGAAATATTGAAGGGGAATCTAAAACTGTTATTTGGGTTTGATGTATTTGTTGAAAAAAAAAAATCTGAGTGTTTTTGTTCTAACAAACTTGTGACATTTTTACAGATTCGGGCAGAGAAGCCGTTATTTTCTTCTAATCCAGAGTTGGACAATTTGGTAAGTGTTGTTTCGCACAGTTTTTGTTGCAGGTAAAGTCGCTTCAAAGGTCCATATGAGGATTCTTTGAGGGAAAGAATGGAAGCTTTAGTGATTTATGAGGCCGCGTGTTATCAGAGGGCGTGGGGGTCTTTGCCCAGGGCTCCCTCTAAGCATCGTCTCTGATCAACAGAAGCGTCACATGCTGATGGCTCAACGGGTACGTTCTCTTACAAATCCACCGCGTAAAAAAAAAAAAACTTAAGTCGTAAAGTTTGCTCATAGTTTGTTTTTAATATTTGTATAAAGCTATTTAATATTAGGTAAACACGTGTGTGTGTTTTGAGTTGACTATGATACAGTTTCTGTCTGATGCAGTACGAAGACCTTGCCCTCTATGGTGGCGGTATGGATGGAGTTGGGGTTCCGACGTCCATGTACGGGGACCCGCACGGGCCTCGGCCCCTGCCGCAGGTTCACCATTTGAACCACGGGCCACCGCCACATGTCAACCAGCACTACGGGGCCCACGCACCGCACGGCATCATGCCCAGCAGCATGGGCTCGGCTGTCAACGACGGACTTAAGAGAGACAAGGACCAAATTTATGGGTACTTTACTGCAGCCAAGCTTAATATGATAGTTACAACAAACTTTAATTGTTTAAATGGCGTGCTGCATTATTACACCCGCATTTGACAACGCAATTTATTTGTATCTACTTTATTACAGTCAGTAAATGTCTGTGCGTAGGCTATACGATCTTAAAGAATATGCCTGTTGGTTAAGCACATAGCAAATTCACCAGTGTAATTCAAATAGTGAGCTGAATAATTAAACTTTAAAATAATTATGTTTATTTTTTATGAAAATAATTATAGAGCGGTTTTAGTTTATGTGGCCGTCAAAGCAATGAAAGCAGCAATACAACTCTTAATACAGTTTGTCAGAATGATTGCTCGGTTATTGCTATAGTGTTTTGATCTGTTGATTTATGTAAATGTTTATGTTGAATCTCGAAGGCACCCGTTATTTCCGCTGCTGGCGCTGGTGTTTGAGAAGTGCGAGCTGGCCACATGCACACCGAGAGAGCCCGGAGTCGCTGGAGGAGATGTGTGCTCATCCGATTCATTTAACGAGGACATCGCTGTGTTTGCCAAACAAGTAAAGTATTGATTGAAAAAGATTTTTTTTTCAACGATTTAACTAAATATTCGGTTACTCAAATTAAGTGAAATATTGAAGGGGAATCTAAAACTGTTATTTGGGTTTGATGTATTTGTTGAAAAAAAAAAATCTGAGTGTTTTTGTTCTAACAAACTTGTGACATTTTTACAGATTCGGGCAGAGAAGCCGTTATTTTCTTCTAATCCAGAGTTGGACAATTTGGTAAGTGTTGTTTCGCACAGTTTTTGTTGCAGGTAAAGTCGCTTCAAAGGTCCATATGAGGATTCTTTGAGGGAAAGAATGGAAGCTTTAGTGATTTATGAGGCCGCGTGTTATCAGAGGGCGTGGGGGTCTTTGCCCAGGGCTCCCTCTAAGCATCGTCTCTGGAGGAACCTATTTACACTTCTGCTATTGTCATAACATTACAAAGCCAACACAATATCAGACGTGCCAAGTTTTTGATTTGAGTGTGATTTTTCGCGTGTATAAAATAACCAACGATGTTTGTTGTTTTAAGTTTTGTATTAGCTTGATATAATAACCAACTGTTATTATTGTTACTATTATTATTATTATTATTATTATTATTATTGGTTGTTGTTAGTGTTGGTATTTTTGTTGAAATATTTCATGCATTATTTTGCTCTTTCCTTAGATGATTCAGTCAATACAAGTATTACGATTCCATCTTTTAGAACTCGAAAAGGTATGTTATCTATTTTATTCTCATTTTACAGTACTATAATTTTATTTTGTTCTCAAACAAATGTACAAATTTATTTTCCCCCCCGGTTTTTAATCAGGTGCACGAGCTTTGCGACAACTTCTGCAATCGGTATATTAGCTGTTTGAAGGGCAAAATGCCCATTGACCTAGTGATTGATGAACGGGATGGATGCAAGTCCGACTTCGACGACCTCTCAGGATCCTCGACAAATCTCGCAGATCACGTGAGTTTTAATTGGCTTTCTATGACATCATAAAACAGGCCAATTAGACAGTGGAGCTGTTCGTATTTACAGTACAGGCAATTTATGGTGGAACATTAGTGACGTTTCCAACAAATAAATAACTGAAAATCCAAATTCCATTTATTGTGTATTGTGTAAACAAATCTGGATAAGTTTACTTATATATATATATATTTTTTTTTTTAAATAATTATTATTTATTTATTTACCTTAACATTTATAGTGCCTCAGCCATGCATTTGCCTTTTTTTTAGCTTCCTCCAGTATTCATCTCCACAATATATTTTAGGAAGAGGAGTAATTACTTAGTTACATATGCTAATTTATTTAAACAACATTATCTAAATCCATTTCTCTTTGCACTGATACGAATCATTAAGGCATTGCCCCAGGACATATCTTATTTTAGAAGAGGTATGATGATGACGATGATGATCATGTTGATGAAGCTCGTCGTGTTGGGTGCAGGTGTTGCAAAGGGTCAGGGTTTTCCCCCCCACTGTCCAGCCCTCTGTTAGCCCTAATGATCAACGTTACATTTGCACGTGAATGCAGTGTTGGTATTTTTGTTGAAATATTTCATGCATTATTTTGCTCTTTCCTTAGATGATTCAGTCAATACAAGTATTACGATTCCATCTTTTAGAACTCGAAAAGGTATGTTATCTATTTTATTCTCATTTTACAGTACTATAATTTTATTTTGTTCTCAAACAAATGTACAAATTTATTTTCCCCCCCGGTTTTTAATCAGGTGCACGAGCTTTGCGACAACTTCTGCAATCGGTATATTAGCTGTTTGAAGGGCAAAATGCCCATTGACCTGGTGATTGATGAAAGGGATGGATGCAAGTCCGACTTCGACGACCTCTCAGGATCCTCGACAAATCTCGCAGATCACGTGAGTTTTAATTGGCTTTCTATGACATCATAAAACAGGCCAATTAGACAGTGGAGCTGTTCGTATTTACAGTACAGGCAATTTATGGTGGAACATTATTGGATTGTTATTGTCAAGCAGGAGGGGAGTCTTTTTTCACTCAGAGACCAACAGTGTGTTCTTTACAGTTGTGCTTCCTATTATCAACGCACCACCCAAAACAACAAAACCACAGAATTAAGAAGAACAGAACTTTACATTCTGCTTAGTTCTGTTCCAGGTCAAAATGGGAAGAGAGAGGGTTTTTTTCCATATTAAAAACACAGATTAAAACAGGCGTTTTGTGATTTGGACTGATGTTAAACGGCCATAATAGTTCCTACATTACAGTGTTTCTATTTTCCGCCATGCAAAACGTCAGATGACTTTCCCCATCCACACTATTCCTGTAAATAGGCTAGATCTGAACCACAGATGGCGAAGTCTAACCATCACACCTTCATATGGTCAGCTGAAAATTATTTGATGAATATGTACCTTGGTATACTTGACGATAACTGTAATCTTTTATTGATGCTCCTGTAATATCTTATCGATTTACAAGTGTGCGGTGTGACACAAAACTATTTGAATTAGGTGATGAAGGGAGACAGTGGCCTTCTGAAATGTTATTAACAGCACACACACATAAACACACAAACCCACAGACTGCTTTTGTGTGTCCTAATGAGAAAACAGTGAAGGGCCTTATTCACACAGCTTTATTGTTGTAGGAGCTTATTCTGGCCTTTCTTAGAGCTCTTTAGCTGATCACCATCAGGCAAACAGCTGACGCTAAGGGCCTGAAGAGGAACGGCTGCTGTTTGCCTTTATGTTGAGCCCGTCTAAGTGCTTTGTACCCTGTTCTGGATAAAAAGGGGACACCGCTGGTTTCTTGTGAGGACATCAGGAGAAGCAGTTACTCTGGTTGTAGCTCCATAGGTCTTGTGTTCGGAAACATATTCCTAGTTCATTTGGATCGTGCATTTCAGTTGTCTCTAATTTGATCAGAGACATTTTCAGCACAGACATGGTAACTAGATGTTTAAAAGACTTGCTGTTTTAAAAATAGCATGTATATGTGCTAGTGTTACTAATGTGGCTTTTTTCACCCTTCGATCTCTGGATTTTCATGTACCTGAACCTCAGAATCCAGCATCCTGGAGAGACACGGACGACGCTCACTCTACTCCCTCAGTCGGCACCCCAGGACCCTCCAGCGGGGGACATGCCTCTCAGAGCGGAGACAACAGCAGCGAACTAGGTAGGAAAACCTGTCAGTTTTACTATTATATCATGCTTTGTTGAAAACACGGTTTATGCTGTCATCTTAATTTCTACTCCAGGCTTCAAGTAGTATTCACAATTTGAATTAGGTGATGAAGGGAGACAGTGGCCTTCTGAAATGTTATTAACAGCACACACACATAAACACACAAACCCACAGACTGCTTTTGTGTGTCCTAATGAGAAAACAGTGAAGGGCCTTATTCACACAGCTTTATTGTTGTAGGAGCTTATTCTGGCCTTTCTTAGAGCTCTTTAGCTGATCACCATCAGGCAAACAGCTGACGCTAAGGGCCTGAAGAGGAACGGCTGCTGTTTGCCTTTATGTTGAGCCCGTCTACGTGCTTTGTACCCTGTTCTGGATAAAAAGGGGACACCGCTGGTTTCTTGTGAGGACATCAGGAGAAGCAGTTACTCTGGTTGTAGCTCCATAGGTCTTGTGTTCGGAAACATATTCCTAGTTCATTTGGATCGTGCATTTCAGTTGTCTCTAATTTGATCAGAGACATTTTTCAGCACAGACATGGTAACTAGATGTTTAAAAGACTTGCTGTTTTAAAAATAGCATGTATATGTGCTAGTGTTACTAATGTGGCTTTTTTCACCCTTCGATCTCTGGATTTTCATGTACCTGAACCTCAGAATCCAGCATCCTGGAGAGACACGGACGACGCTCACTCTACTCCCTCAGTCGGCACCCCAGGACCCTCCAGCGGGGGACATGCCTCTCAGAGCGGAGACAACAGCAGCGAACTAGGTAGGAAAACCTGTCAGTTTTACTATTATATCATGCTTTGTTGAAAACACGGTTTATGCTGTCATCTTAATTTCTACTCCAGGCTTCAAGTAGTATTCACACTTGAGGTTGGATTTTAAATATTGTTTTTTACGTTATACAATGAAAAAATGGTAACCTAAAAATGCTGTCATCTAAATTGGTTTTATTCAAATCAAAAGCATTATTAAATATCACTGAATCAACCTAAAACATAGTATACTATATTAAAAATACTAACACAGTTTATGCTGTCATCTTAATTTGCACCCCAAGCTTCAAGTGGTATTTTAACTTGAGGTTGGATTTTAAATTATGTTTATACATTATACACTGAAAAAATTTTGACATGTAAATTGGTTTTATTAAAGTCAAAAGTGTTATTAAATGGGTTAAATCAATAGAAATAGCTAACAATTGCAGGTTTTTTTGCAGTGTATATTGTACTTATTTTCTATGGTATTTTGCAGAATTTAGTCTTTTAATTTCATATTTTTTAATTGGTGTAAACAGCATTTACTAATCAAAGTCATGTGTCATTGTTCGTGTCATCATCACGATGGTTCACTGAGCTGGTTTTACGATTTTCCTGTGGACACAATAGGCGTTTAATGTTCTTGAAAGGTTAAGGGTCTAATTTAATTTACCAGATCTTCCATTTGAATGTCACTTTTTTTTTCTTAATTTATATTTTGACCTGCCACTCCATATTTATTGTCCTTTAGCGCTGTTTAGCTTGTGGGTGAATATTTATTTAATTATTAAATTTTTTGCGACCTGTTTTTGTATAATCGCTTCAGTTAAAATAGCCTTCAGGGTTTCTCACCTCCTTTTAACCATCAGACATCAATAGCCTGTCCATTATGCAGCACAATAGCAGGATGTTCTGCAAGACAAGAGAAACCAGAACCAAAACCAGCAGCCAGATTGTAATTCTTTGACAATTCAGCCTCAGTTTGACACTATGAAAGACACCTTTAAAATGTTTGGCATAGCAGCAATGCCAGTTGTGTTTCTGCAATGCTACTCGGTATAAAAGAGAGAAAAGCATCAGGGTGGCGGCATTTTCCCCACACAGGGCTTTTTTTGGGGGGAACATCCAAGGCCCACGGCCTTTTGACCCCAAAGAGCATGCACTGAAGAAGGGGAAGAGGAATAACCCCTGCCGGCCTGAAGGACAGAGCACTTCAAATACTAGTCACAATAGAGGGTTGATATCTGGGGTGATCAGAGGCAGAGCTTGGGTTAGGATCAGGGACATCTACCTGCTGCTCCTCCAGGAGCCACTTTGGATCGGTGTTCCTCCCTTTATCATTCAAGAGATCGGTAAAGCAAACACCTTTTCCATTACAAGTGAATGGGGGGTGTTACGTCAGTCACCCAACTTGAGTCCGAAGGATTACTGGGGCTCTTCAAAGCACCTGTCTCTTGTAGGGGGGTCCCTTTGTTGCTTGCACATCAGTAGAAGTTGCTCTTGTTGAGAAACCTTTATGTTAGGTTAGGCTGTCGACTGTGACTCACCTCAGGGTGGGTTTTTTGCGAGAGTTTGGGATGGTAGTGGGGGGTTTTCCACAGCTATCCTAAACATGTGCGTGTTGGTGGGAATGCAGAGCCTAGAAAGGTCCATCACAAAGGGAACAAAGGGAAGCTGCAGGACATTCCAGGCCAATGTTCACCTCGAAGGCTGCTGAAAGACACAGGCTGAGACAGGATGTTTACATCTATATCTGAACCTTCAATGGAGGTTAAATCCCAGCATGAAGTATAGTGGAATAACAACAAGTGTTAAGAGCCAATGCCTCTGCGTTTTAGCCGTCAATACCACCCAACTGTGGTCCAATCCCATGGTCCTCCAGATCATATCATGGCCATGGGGGACAAGAGGATAAGAGCATCTAATCAATATGCTTTAAGCGAAACAATTAGCGAGAACAAAATCATCTGCGTTCGTCCAGTAATTATCCAGTCTGTTGCGTCCAGTAGTCAGAATTATGGCCCCTTTGGAGAAGTATAGTTCGTGATAGATTGAGGTCATGGTGAGCTCATTAAGCAAGCAAACAGGATTTATTCTGTGATGCGTGCGGGGTGGCAGTCATCAGACCCGGCTAGTTTGCGCCGGGCCCCTTTGTCTCCGGGACATTCATCTATCTATCTTCATTTCATCTAATTATCAGCATCAGAACAATGCAGAGCGTTTTAGCTTTGGACCTTGTCATCTCTCGGATGCTGAAGGTACCGTGATGTGACACGGATGCCGTCAGGGTCGGCTTGAAGGATGTGGGAAACCGGTCGAAACATTCTACTTAGACTTGATGTGTTTTATATGCATTTCTCCGCAGAACCCCTTCAGAAGTTTTGCTTTATATGTAAAAATGGTGGTAGATGGAAGCTAGAAGCCTCTTCTTCTCCATGTCTTGGGGTGCTGCTTTTCTCTAAACAGCCCGAGGGCTTACTCCAGCCTTCCTCCAGGCTGCTCTGGCCCCCCTCTGCGCTGCGCGTGCAGACTCTGGGTTCGGGGAGTGAGGTAGGGCTCAGGGAGCTGCAGAGAGCAGCAGCCTTTAAAGAGAGTGCAGTCACACAGGCTGCATGGGCCAAGTTGCCAGGGAACAGTCAGAAGTGATTAGCGTCGGGTTGGATCAGCCCCTGCGGCCTTCGTTTTCTGGAACAGGAGGAGAGAGGCTCGAGGAGAGAGGAGAGAGGAGAGGAGAGGAGAGGGGTGGGGTTGAGGGGTGTTTGAGACTTCCTTAGATGTAAGGATCTCGCCCAGCTCTTTTTATCTATCTTTTTCCCCTTTTCTTTTCTTTTCTTTTCTTTTCTTTTTTCTTTTCTTTTCTTTTTCTGTATTATCTTTCACCATTTCACCTTTACTTTTTCTACCCTAAAAGCCATGAGTTTTTTTATACTTTCAGAATGTTCTTTTTTATCATTCAGCACATTTTTGATATTTCATATTTATAAACACATTGAAAACTTATATTTCCTGTATTTACTTTTATATTGTTTCATTTTCAGTTTTTACTTTCTTTCCTTTTATTTTCAGTCATTCTAACACAGTTTTGAAATCTGATTTTCATAATCAAAATGAAAACATCACCTCACATATTTTCTTTATTATTTTAAATTTATATAGTTGTCTTTTTTCTTCTTCTCTTTCAAATAGAAATTATAACTTTCTCTTTAACCTGTTTGATATTTGATTTTCATTAACATACTTAAAACATCTATTTTCTTTTCTTTTCTTTTCTAATTTATTAGAGTATTAATTTTCATATGTATGATTTTTCTTCTCTTTTAAATTGTTCTGAATATAAAATATGACTAAGTATATTACTAAATATGAAGTATATTATTAAATATTATTAAGTGTTGCTAAACTTTTTGCTATTTAATTTTCATAAACAAACTGAAAACCTATTTTATTTTATTTTATTTTATTTTATTATTATTCCATTTCTCTGCTTTTTTTCATTCCCTTTTAAATTGTTCCAAATATAACAAACAACTTTTTAGTCTCACTAACATTTTTATTTTTGACTTGCATAAATACACTAGAAATTCATGTTTCCTTTTCTTTTCTCTTCTGTTATGTGTATATATATATATATATTAAATTGTTCCAAATGTAATATATAACTTTTTAGTCTCACTAATATTTTGATATTTGACGTCATAAACACACTAGAAATTCATGTTTTCTGTTATTCTTTTCTTTTCTCTTCTGTTTATATTATTTCTTTCTTTTCTCTTCTCTTTGTTTTTATTCTTTCTTTCCCTTTCAGAACATAATACTTTCTATTTTTCTATTTTACAATATACTTTCTGTTTTGTTTGTTTTTTTCTTCATATTCACAATGAAACCCTTACCTCTCTGAGTCAAGACTGTGGTCAACATGCAAACTCCTGAAAGCATAATGAGAAGAAACAGCAGTCTGTGTTGTGTAGACAGACAGTGTGAGACCACTGCCCTGCCCTTGACTTGCATTTTGATTACGGCATCAGTAAGCCAGCCTGGAGTCCATCTACCACCCCCTTCTTATATTCAAATGTCATTATTCATTAACTGAAATATTAATGCATGAATATGGCGCATACAGTCGCCTTTGATTGATGCATCCCAAAAACAAGGAGACACAGCAGGGCCAATCTTAAGAAAAGTAGGGTTCCTGTCCCGCCTCCGGGGAGGAGTCCCTCAGATACATTATTCACACACCCTCCGGGCAGGCTTTCAAGGCATCTCTACCCTCAGGGCAAGAAAAATAAGCATGACTGTTAAAAGTAAATCATCTTGCCTGATGCACAGTTAATGGAAGCGGGAGAGAGGGATGGAAAGAAAGAAAGAAAGGAGGGTGGGGAGGAGGACAAGACGGAAACCTTAGTTTAAAAGCGGCCTCCTGCCTGGCTCTGATCTTAAACTAGATTGGATGGTAATGGAATGAAAGCAGGCTTGATGTTATCAGAGAGCTCACAGTTCAAAATGCACTGTTTGTTAAGCATCAGTTGATCTACATGTCATATTGGAATTACCGTAATTACGAGTTTCCGAATAGTAAAAAATGTCACGTATTCTCTCAATTACAAGTTGGAAACTAGGATTTTGATGAATTCTTCGACTTTTCTCATTTGACATTATGTAAAATAAATACAAATTAAAAGTAGTTGAGAAGTCACTTCAGCACATATTTGGTATGACATTTAATTATAGCCAGCATTATATTTTTGTTATGAATATGTGTAAATAGAGGATGTATTTTATATACATATTTTAATTTATGAGCTATGTAATTTTGTTTTTTACATTTTACAACACAACAGAAAAGAAAACATATTTTTAGGTTGTCACATCTATATATTTATATTCAAAATTCAACATTAATTGCTGTAGCTCATGTAGTAATACTTGGTGCTAACAGCGTTGTGGTCAAAGGTTTGATTCCCAAAGACAGCATGAGCTTCAATAAATAGCTAAAATAAGCTTTTAATCGTATTCTGTGTGTGTTCAGAACATGTTTAAGCGCTTGGAAGGGAAGCGATGACTGTATTTAGCTGTAGTGTGTGTATGTGGCCCCTAACTAAACTTAGTTACATCTTGAATGTGGCAACTGTAAGCGGTAAATTAGTGGTTTAGCATCATAAGTTCTGTCCCTGCACTGTATACCAGTTACTAACTTCTAAAGTCTAACACGGTTTTCTCAACAGCCGCTATCAGGCTTTGCTTTATTGATGTTTTTCCCCAAGTTTTTTCGATTTTATTTTGACAGATATTCTCTTTGCAGTGCCAAGTTTCCATTCCCCATTCAAGCATAGAGCCTGGACATTCATTACCCCATGTCAAAGACAGAACTCACATTGAATTAATAGCACTGGGGTTGGTGCAGAGATTTCCTCGAGATCTCTGACATCGAGACAGCGAGAGAGAGAGCGGGAGAGATCTTGCTCTGTTGATTAGCATTCCCTCTCACTGCATGGATACTCCTGCTCGCCGCGGTCCTTGTGTTACTGTTGCTAATCAAAACAAGCCCCCCACGTGGCTCTTTCACATCGTGTTTGTGAGTGGCACTGGTGATCGGTCTGAATAAACAACTGAAGGTGAGGTTTTATCTCATTAAAGTGACTTTCTTCTTTTGCTTTTTCTCTCTCGCCCTGCTTTCACGCTGTTGTTTATCAGGAGATGGCTTGGATAACAGCTTGGCATCTCCGGGAACAGGGGACGAGGACGACCAAGACAAGAAACGGCAGAAGAAGAGAGGAATCTTCCCCAAAGTGGCGACCAACATCATGCGGGCATGGCTCTTCCAGCATCTCACGGTAAGAAGCAAATCAAGATCTTCTGGCCAGAATTTGGAAGACTTTGTAAAGTGGGCCAGAGTTCAATGCATCCCTTGGCGAATTAACTCAATTCCACTGTTCTCAGCACAGCGACCTGCATCCAAACTGCATTAAAACTAGCAGGGTGTGTTATTATCTGTCTCTCGGCCCTCCCATCTATTTCGCTCGTCAAAACCCAGGGCCGTATTCACCCCGGGGTGAGTAGATTTCTCCAAAACTTGCTAGTTTTGGACTGATTTGGGGCATTCTCAACCCCCTTGAATCTCGGCACATTTTCACCGGTCCACCTCTTTAAATTCCCACCATTCTCTTGCATCTTCCTGTTTTCCATTCTCTTTCAGAATTCCTGCACTTTCTAAGGGCTACACAGGTCCTGTACACATAGTAATCCTTTCCCTTTTACCCACCTTTAGAGTTTAGAGATAAAAAAGGAGAGCCTAATTGAATTATCCTCTCTCTGTTCCCAGCTCCTTTTCAGAGCGATTTGTGAAGCAAAAGTGTTTCCCATTGCAGCATGTGTCCTGACAAAAAAAAAGTGTTAGAGGGGACTATGGCCTCTGAATGGCCCCCATTGCAACACCCAAGCGATCATGCATTCATTTGGGGTCGGGGCTGAATGAAAGCTGCAGGATTACGTTTTGTCGGGTTCTACTTTGAGCCAGTGTGCAACTTTTGAGATGGGGGGGGCTCTTACATATGGTCTAAGCCTCCATCTTTTGTGACCTATTCAGAGGTCCGCGATAAAGACCCCCTGTGCTGCCAATCTTAAAGAAAGGTGGAACATTAAGATTCAGTGGAACATTACAGTTATAACTGTTAGCTGCACTGGAACGAGATAGAGAGATCTCCTTTGGCATGCAAATGGGGACGAGGAGGGGGCTTCTTAATAGACATAAGTGGAATTCATGCAAATATGAGTGATTCTTTGAAAGCGAGCTTGTCGGATAGCTTCATCTTTTGAATACGTAGGTTCCTCGCTAAACTTCAGCAAACAATCACGGCACAACCTGCTGAGAGCTTTTTGATAAGAGTTTAAAGATGGATCCCAGAGCACAGCTCGCATTCGTCCGTCACTTGGGTTGTGTAGAAAAGGGGTGGAGCTTACAGTCATTCATCAGCACAGTGACAGCGAGCAAGCCAGGAGGTGAGCAGGGAAATCTCCGTCAGTGTGTGAGAGAGAGAACGAGACATGTAACTGGACCCATCCCTCACCAGTGACCACGGGAGGTGAGGCCGTGACAGTGCCAAAATTGGTGCACACCCACGACCCTGCGCTGTCTATACATTCACCCCTGCCTGCCATCTGCTGCCCTCCCTCTGCACTCACAGTGAGAGCAAGAGGATCAGGGGCCGGGGGCCACCGCAGGGCCACCAAGGGCCAAGCCCTATTCAACCCTAAACAAAACTCTCCATTGTCTCTCTTTCACACCCACTCGATCATTTGTCAAGTAATGTCAAATAATGTCAAACAAAACCACGAGCAGTCAGCCAATGAGACGCAGGGAAATTCTCAAACTCAGGGCTGCATATGGGAAGTCTATCATACATAATGATGTAATTTCCTGAAAGAGTCATATGGGATCCACGTTTTTGCCTGCAGTCTCGCATGGGGCGGGTAGACTTGATGCTTGAGGTCATTAGTCATTTAAACAGATTCGTTTTTAAGAAAAAGTCAGGTCATCTTGATTTGCTTTATTGATGGAGAAGGCAAGGAGAAATACACAACTCTAAATGAAGACATTTACATGTTCCATTCATTATCGCTTTATGGATCATCGGACAGCAATGTTATTAACTGTGGAAGTTTCTTACACATTAATATAATTTTTCTTGTTGTTTCTGTCTTGCAGCACCCCTACCCATCCGAAGAGCAGAAGAAGCAGCTAGCGCAGGACACAGGCCTCACCATCTTACAAGTGAATAACTGGTGAGTAACCTTTGACCTTTGACTTGCCAGCTTGACCTCTCAGCACTTAGAAGTCAGGGTTAGGGATCTCTGTAACATTTCCATTTCAAGTCCGGTGATCCTGATTTCTCACACTATTATTAGACGCTCTTCAAAGCCCCAATGAGACAAATAAAAGTTAGAATAGGAGCAATGATGAGGTTTGCCCGGTGTCTCAGAGGGACTTTTAGAAAAGTTGTCAAATGTTATGTTCCGGAATGCCATTCGGTCACCAGAGTTCTCCTGAATGTTTATTCATTTAGTAACCATTTGATTGCAAAAGATGCTATTGGATTACACAAATCTGATAATCTCATTGCTAGATTCTGAATGTATGATATAGAGCATTACAGACTGAGCAGATTGAGAGGCCTCTTTGTATTGTTTATTTAGATGGGATTTATTTTGATAGCATAATTCCACATGGCTACAATCAACACTGTACTTATGCAGACAATTTTGATATTTACATTTACATTTGTAACATATGCTAATGTGTATTTACTGCAACAATATGTTCAATATGCAACAGTGTTCACAAACATTTGGCTAAGACTCATTGTCTATGAGTAATTCCTTCCCCCAGTGCATGTCAGGGGCATTTCCTACCTCTCTGTTACGGGCTGCTGAAGCATATTAGTGTCTGAAAAGCAGTTAGGCTAATCATACCCTGAAGCTACTAGGCCAATGCTATATCAATTGAATATTTATTGAGCAATGACCCCTTTACTTGATTTGCTAATATATTGCAGCAAGAAGCACAATTAAAGCCAGTCTTAAAAACAGAGGTTATCTTTAGACTGCTGAGGAAAGGGAAAAAATACACCACAACTCAAATAAATCTATTTTGTTTTATCGTCTGCAACTATAAAATTCACCATTAAGCGGAATGTTACTCAAACGCAATTTGTAAAAGGTGTTAAAATCGCTTTATTTTAACAAAACCTCTGCTTGTTTACATTATAAATTAGACTATTTCTTTGGTCTGGCGCTAAAACAGTACATTAACTTTTTTTGTGGACTCCTGACAGGTCCATTAACCCAAAGGCCCGTGAGAAATCGCACTGCATTAAGGGATATTTTGCAGTAAATCATAGCAAAAAGCTCACAGTAGTAAAAGTCCCGAGTGTTTAAATAAGAGTAAAATATACTGTGGGCGGTCAGTAATATAAATAGATTCATTAAATATGTTCCCTGTCTTCTCTTTGACAGGTTTATCAATGCTCGAAGAAGAATCGTGCAGCCCATGATTGATCAGTCTAACAGAGCGGGTAAAGTGATGGCTTATTTTCTACCAATCACTATATACACAACGTGTGCATATATCACATATATATCGTGTTTTTGTGTGTTTAGTAAGTCAAGGAGGCGCTTACAGTCCCGATGGTCAGCCTATGGGAGGCTTTGTGCTAGACGGCCAACAACACATGGGTCTCCGGCCTGGCGGTAAGTTGCACTTTGATTCTAATCGCACATTACTCACTTTTAGTGCTGTTATAAAAATGCTGAAAGCATTTGCATGTGTTTTATTGTTTTGTTTTTTTATTTTGTTTATCCGTCTCACAGGTCCCATGGGAGGAATGGGTATGAACGTGGGTATGGATGGACAGTGGCACTACATGTAAACGCCGCTTCCCAAACCATAAACGTAAGGAAACGCGTTGGTACTTAGAACATCCCCTCTCTTTCTCCTTTAAGGGAGAGGAGCGGGGAGGTGAGGGGAGGTTAACACCCCCCACCGAAGCCTCAGACACATTGAGATATCATGAGCTCCGGCTTGCAAGAGCCAGATACACGTCATCTAAATAATTTCCAGACTATTTAATCCTACCTTTTTTTGATTGAATTATCATCGAGTCGTTACTGTAATTGCATCATTTAGAGGAATGTTTCCCCGTCCTTAATTCGCTCTGGTTAAACACCATATGCTGGCGGATTGTTGGGATCATTATGAAGATCGGTTTTCCTGTCTAAAGCGGATAGAGACACATTTATGATTTTAGAGGCAGGTGCATGTTTTTTTTTTCAAGGAATATTTTGGGTTGGCTACAAGGGTTGGCCCATTTTGCAACCTTTCTTGTGAATTTGGCCATTTTCTGGAGAATTTGAAAGCAGAAATAATTTCATAAAAGCACTCACATTTATTTTTCTTCTTTTTTTATTATTATTATTTTGCTGTAAAGCTATTTAAATTGTCATGTTATGGTCGTTTTAGGGTTTTAGACATTACGTGTTATGACATTGAAGTTGTAAAATTGGATATAACTTTACTCAGAAAAAGTTATCAATTTGTTCACAGTAAAATCATGTTTTCTGGCTATACACTGTTAAATTAATTAATTAATTAATGTATTAATTAATTTATTTAATTATTTAGGATTTATTTATTTTTATTTTATTTTTTAAGTTGTAAATAAAGATTATTGGAGTATGTTTTACAAAAAAAGATATAAATACTATTTCAGTCCTTACTTCAAATTTTCATATTTAATTCAATGAGTTATTTGCTATTTCTTTGTAATTACTTGTGAAATTTCCTAGCAATTTCTGTGAAAATTGTTTCTATACACTACATTTTTTCAGAGCACTACTGATTTTATTTTTTTTACGTAGATTCACTTCTGTTGTAAGTGCCTTACTGTAACCCAGATTTTTGTTTACTTTAAAGAAAAAAGAGGGGCATAATTAAATACATTTTTCTCGTAATCGGCACATACCCAAAATATTCCTTTAATGCTTTCACAATGTGGATATTAGTGAATAAATCTCTTAATATTGTATTTTTCACTCCATGTTGTAGGTTTTGATGGTGGCCTCAGGAATAGTCCCGGCACTGGCCAGAGGCATGAGGAGTCACGTCACATTCATCCTCACCTGATCACGCGCCTGTCCGGTCACCTCCTGTCTTCACGAGACCTCCCAAATCTCTCGCGGACCCCTCATCATCTGGCCATCATATCTCCAGCCAAAGGACTGTCTGCAGGAGCACCAACATTACAAAAACAGACTTGAAGCATTTGTGCCAAAAGAGAGACTTCTGAAAAGACAATTGGAGATCTTTTCTTTTTAAATTATTTATTTATTCTTGTTATACTGTCAAGAAGCAGGGGGACCACACCATTTGTGCACTTTTGCTCAACCATAGAGTGGCCGCCCCAGACGCAAATATTCCATACCTCCTCACGCACAAGTGCACACCCTCATATTAAATGCATTTAACTGTGGAATCAAGTAAAAGATGCTAAAAGCCCTCAAGAACTGAAATGTGAGTGTATGATGTTTTTTTTTTGTTTGTTTGTTTTTTGTTTTTTGGGGGAAATGTTCTATGTTTGGGTTTGTGTCATTGACTAGTTTTTAGACCTTTGCATTTATGATTCTACAAAGTTTGAAGGAAATGGAACCACTTGATGGGATCATTATGGCACCCATCTGACACAAATTCCAGTATGTGAAACCGCAAAGTCTTCCCCACATGAGATGTTTTGAAAAGCATCGCTGAGGAAATGAGTTGTGCGTTTATTTGTCGAATTGGAGAGCAACAGTGCTCGTGTAAGGCTAAATATGCCCGGAGGAGTTTTTAAATCACTAGAGATATCCCATTGTACATAATTATGTAAATGTTATTTGTAAAACACATCAATGTCAAATAGGCATTCAGTCGAGATCCTTTAAAAATGGAGTTGGGATATTGTTGTACATTTTGGTCCGTTCTCACTCTTGCTTTTCTCGATGGAAAAAGTCGATCATATGTTTGTCGAGGTACTGATAAGTTCGATCGATCTTCCCGCTCGGTCCATGTTTCCTTTCAGGAGTCTTTTAAAGCATTGCGGTATTTCTACACAGTCAAAAGTCGAATTCTTGTAATAAATGCTTCATTTTCAAAATGTTAAATCTCTTGCTTTGAATGTTATTTCATGCATTGAATCGACGCAGTTCAAATTCATTTCAGCTATAAATAACTATTTTTATTTTGCAGATAAAATGCAACTGTGCTACAACGTATCTACATAATCATTAAATATGTTGTCCGTTTAAAAAAGAACAATAGAAACGCAAACGAAACTACATTTCAAAAATTATTTTAAATGTGTGAATATGTGTGCATCAAACAATCATAAAATAAACTGATACTTTGCATACTTGGCTATATAAATAACGTCTCCTTAAAGGTGCATAAGAAAGTGTAAAATAATAATTTAATAACTATTTAGTCTACCCCTAAAACCATCTAAGACGGTATTGAGATTCGTGTAGAGGTCTTTTGTCAAATGTTTGAGGCAATATGTGCAGAAATAAATCACATTAATTCAATATTTCCAACTCAGGCGACTGCACCGCGTGTAATTTTTCAGAAACACAAACCCCGCGCACTTCTTCATCTCCAGCATCTTTTAAACGCAATTTCAAGGTGACATTTTCAAATGGTTTTTCTCATGCTGTTTGATATCTTAGCTAAGACTGCTCCAGCAGACGTTTCCCTGCTTATTTCGACCTCCAGTCTGTGTTTCTCTAGCCTGCAGTACTGGTGAGAAAATGCTGTAGTTTGGTGGTCATTTATCAATGTCAGCGGCGTAACGATCTCACTGCAGTATTGATGAGGAGAATTACGCGGCTGGAGGAGAAGCCACAGGCACAACAATACCTGCAATAACGCGACGCCCAATGCCCTTGCGTTTCATCACATTCCTTTCGATAATGGAATTATTTTAATAAGCCCTCCCAATCCGTTTTGTTTCTCCTTCTTTTATTTTCTTTCTTCTTTATTTTCTTTTTTTATTTTATGTCGACTGTTGAACGTATCCACATATATTTTAGAAAATAAAAGGCTAGTTTTAGTGCACAATTCGTTCAAGACGACATAATATATATATATATATATATATATATATATATATATATATTCCTGTTGGACAAGAGTGATATTTGGCGACTGTGAATAATAAAATGAGTTTCACCTCATGAATCATCTTAAATGTATATTAAACCAAACATTAAATTGCTGTTGCTGTTTCGACATAATATATATATATATATATATATATATATATACAGTTATATTCCTGTTGGACAAGAGTGATATTTGGCGACTGTGAATAATAAAATGAGTTTCACCTCATGAATCATCTTAAATGTATATTAAACCAAACATTAAATTGCTGTTGCTGTTTTAAATCATAAATAGCTAGTATTTAGCTGCATGTAAAAATGTAAAAATTGTAAGGTAATACTGGAATTCCAACATAGGAAAAATGCTTAATATTAAGCTAACATCTGGAAAGAAAGAAAGAAAGAAAGAAAAAGAAAAAAAAAGAAAACCGGTTTAAAGCTGTATTTTTTTTATCTCGAGCACAGCCAGCGTTGATACAGATAACTCAAATGCTTAGTGTGTATATCTTGGTCAAAGATAAATTCGTTGTGAAAGCTGCCGGAAACAAGAGCACAGCTTAATGAAATATGGGTCATCCTTCCTACACTGAGCAACATAAAGTAAAAAGATACAACATAAAATTAAGCAAACACTCCACACCCGGCTAATATGATATTTACACCGCGGTGTAAAAGAAGACGCGTTTCCATTCTAAAATCTGTAACAGTGTTCGAAAAAGTATGTCGTGAGCCTGCCTAAACCTTTTATATAACTAAATTTATAAATACAAATGTATGTCTAATTAAATAATTAGGCTACTAATAAAATAAAACCGAATTAATGAAATAAATAACACGCTTAATAATAAAAAAAATGGCTTATTTGAAAATACTTTTCGCATGTTTATTCTTCTTCTTTTTTTCTTTTCTTTTTTTTTAACGACCGTAATATTTCCCTCTTCTTTATTTTGGCACACAGTTTTTTGGTGATTTTCTTGGTTTTTCCTCTCTGGCTGGTTTCACAGCATTATTTTGGAACCACGTCCTGCTATAAAAACTGAACTGAAGTGAATCTTACCAATGAAACCAAAGCGATGGTCTCTAATGTTGTGTCGTCACGCCATAAATGTAATCACTGGTGCAACTAGGTGCAATAACGTCTTAAACCATGAAATCACAGTCTATTACTGAATTATGGCAATAATGATTTTATGAATCAGCTTGTCATGGCAGTAGCAATTCTGCACACCCCTCCTCATTTCAACGATAGTTTACATCTCGCTTTGACTGCAGCCAAGGACTTGTCCGAACCCTGAATCTAACTTGTCAAACACAATTTCTATTGTGTATATCTCCTCTCTCTGGATTTCTTGAGTGGTCATGCTGAGAACCTGGTCCACATGAGGAGATGTTTATCCCCTGGTTACAGAACAGTCAGAAGGATTGGTGTTTAAATTTG